AAATTAAGGTAATTAATGCTTGACAATGTTTACAGCGGTTCCGATGTGGCTATTTTTCTAAATATATTTCATTAACCTATTTCTATTTATAAAATAAACATCAGGAAATGTAATTATGCTTGAATATGTATACATATGATAATAATAAAGGTACTTATATTGCGCAATACTCCATACAACAAAGGGGCATGCTCAAAGCGCGCACAAATGTTTAAAACAAACACATCGAAAGTAACAAGTTTAAAAACAAACACCACATGAATCAGTATTGTAGAAGATTGTCGTAAATATGAGCTTGGAGAGAGTTACTGTTTGTACCGACTGAAAAGGTGTGTTTTGATGTTACGCTTGAACACTTGAAGGGATGGAGCTGTACGTAGTTTATGTGGAAGTGAGTTCCATTGTGCGGTTGCAACTGAAGCAAAGGAGTGGGCACCAAATATCTTGAGGTTGAATGATGGAGGATCCAGCAGGTGTTGGTTACTGGATCTGAGGGCACGAGCAGGAGTGTATGGTGTGAGAAGATCACACAGGTATGAGGAAGTCGTGGAGTTAACACACTGGTAAGCGAGAGTGAGTTCCTTGAAATCAATTCTTTCATGGATCCGTAACTAGTGAAAGGAATCCAGAATGAACTGTACGTCACAGGACGGCTTAGAACGGGTAACGCGACGGGCAGCTTTATTTTGGAGAGATTGTAGGCGCTTTACCTGAGATTTGGAGGCACGTGTAAGCAGACTATGTGCTTGCGTGTTCGACCGTGTTACAGAAATGCTGTATGAAGACAGTAAGTGTGCAACTATCATTGGAACTAACTCCCATAAACAACCTGAGACAGCTGCTTGTAGTCGACAACACCGTTTGGGCAGCATTAGTGGTAAATATAAATGAACGGTAAGTTAGGCTATAATAATCAACAAAAGTGTGTCACACCTGTTGATATTCCCTACATTTAGTGCAAATAATAGTCAAACTGCATAGCGAGGGAATCTGCCTGAGATTTGCATTAGTTTCGTTGAACGTCAGATGATTTTCTGAGCTGATTGGCCATTTCTCAAGTACAGTCAAACTTATTAAAATCTGGTGTATCCGCCTCTATCCTCGAGACAATCCCCCATTTGACGAGGAATACTCCTAATAAAATGTCAATTCAGTGTCAGCTTGATTCATTCCATCTCATGGCAGTGCCAACTTTGTTGAGAGTTTCGGTAGGGCGTTATTGTTCTCCTGTTGGAGGTACTCATTAACAATAGTAGCTCCGTGTATATTTGGGTTGCCATCCTGAAACACAAATAAACGTCCATCTTGGCGAACAAACCCTTTGACTTTCTAAAGCTCACTCAACACTAGCCTCACAGCTTGTCGACCCAAGTTCCACTGCTTCTCTTCTTTTCTTGAACTAGAACTGTTGTGACTACTGTGTGCAATACGAAATGCAGTACCACTATTTATATCAATGCCATGGATTTTCATGTCAGATCATGTCAACTATGCAACTGTCGCTTTCGGATCCGATCACCCTTCCTTATCAGGGGAATTTTGTATAATTAAGTTTGTTCCGGTGGATTTGCAGCATATGAAACAAAACGACAATTCTCTGCCATGACACAGATCAGTCTCCTGAACTAGTCAATGCTATGTTAAACAAATGATGGATTCCAGCTTTAATGTATGTATCATTCCTCCCTGATTATAGGCTTTTCGTCACAAGCTTACTTACAACTTCTCTTGTGATATTTTGGTTGATCTGGTATAACAGACCTGCTTAATTGAAAATCATTACTGAAAAGATGTTCCCTGAAACCCTTTTTTAAAATCCTTACATTATGATCCTTAATTCTTATAGACCATGCACAAGAGTGCACAAAATTATATATTTATACACTGTCAAGTATAATTGCCAACATGCAATAATTTATGCGATTTGGGACCAACCTACGTGTGTCATGTTTCTTTCATGTTCACATGGGACTGCCTTAAAGTTTCACAATTGTAACCTCTGGAATTTGAGTATCAATGATATGTGAGTAACGTTTCATTCAACAGCAACAGGTTCCATGAATCACTGACGATTCGTAGCCAGTGGTTGTCTTGTACTAACCCATAATAACTAACGATTACAATCGGTATTGGGAGATTCGAACCCTGTACTGGATTAACAGATCCTGGAACCACAACAGACAGATTTCATCTCACCGAACTCTGAGACCTGTTGACAAATGGACCTAATGTGCATCTTCTAAGTATCAGTCTGTTTAATCGAAAGGAACCTTACTTATTGATTGTTTTCCACTTTGTCAAAATACCACAAAGGGTGGGGTGGTGGGTCGGTGGTGGTGGGGGTTATGGGGTCAGTTGTAGTTGTATGTGACCGAGAAACAAAATGAAGAACATGCTCTTGATATCTGTAATAAAAGATGATAACACAACAACCACATCGAATATGACGTCTGTACTTACATTCCGTTACTTTCTCCATCAGAAAGCTATTCTCAGCTTCCGTATTGATAGAAACGAGGTCAGCACCAAGAATACGACATCTAGTTCTTGCAGAATCCCATTTGACTTCACCCAGCTCCAGTATGTAACAGTGGTCTTCAAATTTCACAAAGCCAGCAGCACACGAATCTACAAAATGACAACGTGAATGGAGAGGTTCGAAAACTCATTTTCCTTCACATTCAACAGAAGAGATTAAACAGCTGCAGACAATAGATAGTGAACCTACAGGGTCATTACAAAAGTAAATGACTGAAATGTATACACAGACATGTTCACTGAATTTGTAATAAAAATCACACAATGAACCTGCATAAATGAGAGCTACACTTTCATTTCACCAGGCCATTGGCAGTCGCAGTGGTGCATTTCGGTTGAATATTGAATAACAATGTATACTTTACTTGGTTCTGCTGTAGTCGTTGTTGTCGTCGTCGTAGAAGTGGAAGTGGTTGTGTTTGGGACTGTGATGGGGGTTGTGTTTGGAACTGTGATGGGGGCGCATTGTGAGAGAGCAGCCTCGAGTCTCTGGACTCTCTCATAAGACACATCCACCTTCTCTTCTATCACCCGCTGACGTGCCCTCGCCACAGCAATCTCCTTCTTCAGAAGCTCATGTTCCTTGAACTGATTCTTAAATTCATCTTTTATTCCCTCCGTCAACTCTTTTATCACTTCCGACCGAACGCGCTTTGCGTTCTCCTTTATCTTCAGAATACAGGTATTTGTGTCGTTTTCTTTATCCTCTATGGCATGAAGCTTCACTATCATCATCAGGTATAACATTGCAGCTATAGCGTGAAGCTTAACTCTCTCCATCGTGACTACTCTATGTAGTTGTGATGTAAATGTCTGGACTTACTAGCTTCGGTATAGATGCCACTTTGATTGTAACCGATTTTGACAGGAAGTTCTAAATTAGTTAAACTAGATGATAGCAGATGTCAAGCTTATTATCATTTACAATATAGGGCTTGACTGGTGCCTCCTTAAAGCTGGTATGACTTCATATTGTGATTATTTGAAATGGAATGAAAGAAACATTGTTCCTCTGCTACCTTTTGAATGTATAGAGGTTCACGGGTTCATGTGGAAAATAACAAGCGCTTGATGTACAGGGAACTGAAATGAAAGTGTCCAGAAAATCGCTATTTAGACAGATTTGTTATCACTATCCCTATCACTATTTTTAAAGGTACTATACTGATGTCACCTTGAGGATCGCGAATGGCACTCTTCTTTAACATTCATGACTGTCATTAGGTTTTCTGTCACCAGATTAGTCTCCACCAAGGTCAGGAAGCAGAAAATAGATATATTATTATAAGAGATATAATGGCAGTATTTGGATGTTGTTGTTCTTGAAAAGGCTATTGCCAGTCTTGCCGTGTGAGTTTGGGTGTTGTCATGTTGAAAAATGACTTTGGGCTTATTAGTAACTCAGTACTGTATTTATGTTCATTCTAAAAAGATGAACACATTGGGAAAGATTGGGTTGATTATCTTCCACGGATTACACGGTCAGTGAGAGGAAGATATAATCTTTAATATGTCTCTAATAAGCACCCTAATAGAGTATCGCATTCACCGTAACGTACTTTACTTCGCTACATTTCCGGATTCGAAGCATTACTTTGAGTTGCAAAACAGTGGGTTTTATACAAAGATTACTTGACAACTCTTGTTGTATTTTAAGTACCTAATACCCAACTCAGAAATAATCTTTTAGTTATTCAATTTATGTTAACTTTGGGTTTTTTGGCCTTTGCCATCGTCAAATACGACTTTTTTTTTTTATTGCGAATGAGTTAACAGTGGAATATACACCCGTGTTCCAATCAAAGCATTGACACTTTTAAAGTAGTTGACCCTAGAAGCTTCAACTAAATGCGTTTATGCAAATGTTGTAACACCCCGTTTAGATTTGACTTTTGTATTTGAACGTCTGTTTGAATGTGTCACATGGAAGTGTAAACGGTTTCAAAGCGCTTGTAAAACTGTGTGAACCTCCGACCGTGTTGAACAAGGTGACGATATCAAATCATTAGTGATGCAAACTGACGCCCTAAGTCCTGAACCTATATGTAGAGGAAAGGGCCTTATATGTGGATTCAGATGTAATTTGTACACGAGTGTGTGGGACATTCAGTGTTTACCCAATCCATGTAAAGGAAACTATCACGTGGTTCCTAAAATTGGTATTGACATCCAATCAAGTAGGAGGATCTATTCACATTTCATGCAAATACAAATAACCACAATACGAAATACAAAAGAGGTTTTTTTCCTTTAGCTTCAAAGTACAAAACGCAACCAGGAAAGAAGGTTTGGTTTGGCTGTTGTTTAACACCGCACTCAGCATTGTGCCAGCTTTATGATGACGGTCTGTAAATAATCAAGCCTAGACCAAACAATCCAGTGATTAACATCATGAACATCGATCTACGCAATTTTGGTACTATGACATGTGTCAACAAAGTCAGCGACCGTGGCCACCCGATCCCGTTAGTCGTCTCTTGCGACGAGCATGGGTTGCTAAAGAGCAACTCTAACCCAGATTTTCACGTGTCCTTGGAAAGAGGAATCCTGTATCTATATTGCATCCTTCTCACATATGTAGTGGAAATCATAAGACCAGACCGCGTCCTCCCACTTGTACGCTGCCTCGAACGTCGAAATGAGTGCTGAACATACGTCTTGCATACAGTTAGGTTCATTGGTCGAACGCCAGTCAGTGAAGCCCACCTTAGTGCCGTCAGACCACTTGTATTTTCCGTCTTCATACAGCATCCCTATCCAGAAATGTCCGATCTTCTCCGTCTCTTCAGGCGGGTAGTCTGAAATTACACATTAAAGAATGATTTTGTTACAATTGATTACTTTGGGTTGAAACTTGGCACAGATACATCGGACCAATCCGAACAATTCTGGACATGATCCAAATTAGCGGCGCCACCTTGTAGTACAGAAAATCCAAGATTTTCCTTAATCTTTTGAGACGATAATATATGTGCATATATCATGCTATCTGCTCGAATTAAGGAATGTTTTCAGGAATAATCGCAACAGTAATCTATAATTCAAATCTAGTATATAGCACCCTTTGGTGGAGACAGAAAGTCCAAGACGGCCGCCCAAAGTACATTTTTGCAGATATTTTCGGTTGTTTGTGCACGACGTCGCTATTTGTTCCATTTAATTCAGTTTTCGGTTAAAACAACAAGGATTTCATACTGAATGTTGGTACTAAAATTATAAACATTTTAATTTAGATTATTACGTTTTGTTATTTATAAAATAATCAAACATCAGGAATACATTGATGTAATACATATGAAATTATGCTGGACAATTTATATTGTTTTACAGCTACGAAGTTTTCAAAATATTTTCTAATATTAAAAAAAATATATCTATATGTGTTTGCCTGTTCGACCGTCTTGCAGAAATGCTGTATGAAGCCAGTTGCAACTAGTTTGCAACTATACTGAACCACAAAAGAAACGTCGCTTTTCAAAACCAAATGCAAAATTTTGTTCTTGCAAGGTGGTGTTTTCATTATGATTGTACCGTTTTCGTAACATGTTTTTCAATCCAAATTGGCAGTTATTACCAACATCAGTGTGCTTTCTGATGAAAAAGCATAGCGACCAAACGCACCGAAAAAGGCAGACATGGTAAAAGGTTCCGTATGACATTCGTGAAAATGAAAATGCACGTGCATGTCGTGACAACCCTACCAATGAAAGCGAGTCCCAAACTCACCTGAAATCATTTTTGTTTTGACACAACCACCATGCCACGTCTTACGAGAAATCAAAGGAACCAAGTCGTTGGACGGTTGCAGGCTGTCCAGGCGGCACAGAGGGTAGCCAATCATTTCAATGTTCATGTTAGGACAACAGGAGTGGTATCATGTCACTAAGAGCATTCAAGACCGTCCACGCGGTGGGCGACCTTCAGTAACACCACATCGTCAAGAATGGCAGGCTGTGCGAACCATCTGCAGGAACGCTTCCCCAAAGCGACGAAAACAGCACGGCAGACCATTTGGACTCACAGCAGACCCGTCAGTGCCGATACAGTGCGTGGACGTTTGCGCGGAAGAAACCTCTACTGTCACAGATCATCACCGCCCAAACCGACTGCAATGGGCAACTCAGCATCGCCATTGGCGTTATCGACAATGGAGAACTGTGCTGTTATCTCATGAAAGCCGATATTGTGCTTCGAAAGTCGATGGCAGAGTGAGAGTATGGCGAGGGCGTGGTGAAATGTTTTCCAATGAGTGTATTGTTGAAAGAGGCTCGTGGGGTGGTCCAAGCATCATAGTGTGGGGTGCAATCGGTCTGAACCAGATAGTTAATACCGTGGTGTTCCAGAATCTTGGTCCAGGGTGAGGAAATGACATGACAGCTGCTCGTTATATTTATTACGTCATAAGACCCCACGACATTTTCGACGTTACAGAAATCACATCTTCCAGCAAGACAACGGTCGTGCCCACACTGTCAGAGCAACATTGGACTTCCTAAGATAGCATGGCATCCTAACCCTACAAAACTCTTGCACTCAGTATCAATTTAAGTCTAGTAGAACATCTTTGGGACGAGATTCAAAGAAGACTGAATGGCCTCCAACCAAGGCCGACAACTACGGTTAGACTCGATCAGGCATTTCGCAGAGTATGGACCCAAGTGCGTGTGATCTTCATCGAACGGCTAAAAGTCACATCGGCAATATCTCAGCCATATCGTGACTAAAACTAGTTCTAAATCCAAAATACATACATATATTATATAAAACCCTGTCAACGAAGGACAGTAAAATAACTAGATTATCACAAAATGAATTAAAACTAGCTAGCTTATATCTTTAAAAGTAGAAAACTATTTTTGGACAATACAATGTAAAAATGGGCTAGTAATCGCCAACAACTGAAGGTAGATCACCATACTAGGGACCATGGGGACTTACAGTGCCTTTGCTACCTGCATGGACCCTAGCTGGATTTACACCATCCCTTCAGCCATTGGCGTTTATGCTGAGATTTAGCCATACATTAAAATGACAAAAATACTACGATTAAAAACCTGGTAGACTTAAATTTACTTGAAATGTTTTGGGACTTACGTACCCTCTCAGGAGGACAATATTTTTACGCTACGTCAACCCCCTTCGAAGGTACAGCCACTCACAAATTCAGTTTCTCATTTAAATCACCAATACTAAAATGCATTAATGTACAAAACATATGAATCAAAATTCATCTATCAGTTCTATTTCTTTTAAAAATTTGATAATAAAATGATAATTGACATTATTAAAAAGATCCTTAACAGTTTTTACTTTGAAATATTTATCCCTTATGATGGAAAAACTGACAACCCAAGTAGGTGTAACCAATATAGGGTTTTATTTCATGTAATATGTAATACCTACTTGGGTGTCCCACTTCTTCTGCATCGGATCACGGATGTAGGTTCTAATGCTAGCTTTGTAATCAGAGTATGGAATAAGAAGTGCTGTCACAGATTTGTAAACATGTCCAGTGTTTCCCTTGTGAAGACAATTTCTTTATCAGATTTGATTGATTGCATACTGAATTATACTATTATTATTCAAAATGAAAGAAGGAATTATTCAACAAATGTGTTACACAACTGTTGATATTTCATGCATTTAGTACAATAAATAGTCTCTATTCCCAAGACAAGACCCGGGTTCAACGAGACATTATTCTAATCAAATGTCAATCCAACGTCAGCTTGATTCAGTTTATCTCACTCTTCATGCAGGGCAGAGCCAAGTTTGATGAGTGTGGTCGGTGGCTGTTGAGTGTGGTCGTCACAGGATATCCGATATATATATATACCGTGTGCTCTTGTATTGTCATCCTGAAACACAAATAGACGTCCATCGTGGCAAGCAAATGACACCACAGTGATGTGTCCCTGAATGTAAAGGTGTCCTGCCACTCACAGCAATTCCACCCTACACCATTGTTGAAATAACCCCTTTACTATCGTTCTGTGTAACGTTAACAACACACGGCCACACTGCTGTGCCTGTCAAGGCAGTCCAAAGTTAAATTTGATTCATCCGAGAGCATAACGCTCTTGAACCAAAGTCTTGCAGTAATACGACGGGACGACAATCAATGGTAACACGTAGACGTCGGGAATGCAAGCCCCTTATGTACACAGCGTTATGAATGATCTGTCCACTCACATTAACACCTGCAGCTCTGTGAAGGTCATCTATTTGTGCGAAATTAAGAACACGTTGTAAATGGAATAAATAGTTTCTGAAGCTATATATACTGAGTCAAAATAAAGTCACAATTCATATTTGTAAATGATTATATGAATTGTTTAGTAGACAGTTTTCGGGAATCATAATATTAACCCCCAAATATCGACTCAAGAAAACTCATCACAGCACATTTAAGTCAATGCAAACATCGTGCACCCCACAATAGTGCTAAAACTTGTTTTTCACGTGTGGCGTCACGGGCGGAGGACCGTCAAACTGTGTTACCTCAACTCTGTAACCGTTTTGTTGACGGCGACTGGAACCAGAAAATGAGCTGTTTTGAGGTCGATTGTCGGCACAAACCACCCGAAACCGGCTTCGATCTGCTCACCTTCGTGTTCGACGACCATATCGAGGAACCATTTTGACGCCAGTACATCGACGTCAGCGTTTGTTGTGTGCCCGACGACACCTTCGATTGACTCAAAGAGACTGGAATAGAGTTGTCTTCAGTGATAAATGAAGGTTTTGCTGATGGTAGGATGAAAATGTGGGAGCGACGCCGTGAACGTTATGCTCAGTGTTATGTACAGAAAGTTGACAGATTTGGGGACGGAAGTGTCATGGACTGGGGTGATTTCTGTGGGACTTCTGGTTATCCGTAGGAACCTTAATGCTGCAGGTTACCGCGATCGGGTGCTAGCCCCCGAACTTATTCCCTTCATGGCAGCTTATGGTCCAGGCCTGCACTTTTAACATGACAATGCCAGACCCCATACATCCATTTTAACCAGGAATTACAAGGTCTGCAGAACGCATGAATCAACGTTCTTGACTGGCCCTCAAGGTCACCTGATCTCAATAAAATCGAGCACATGTGGGATGCTCTTGGTAGACGTCTGTGCAGTCTCAGGGACCAACCCCAGAATTTGCTGGATTCTGGTGCTGCTTTGCAGGAACAATGGCACCGACTCCCCAATAATGTGTTTATAGGCAGTCAGTCAGTCCACTGGAAGGCGTTGCTTGGCAGTTGTGAACGCACAGGTGGCTCACGCATCAGATTTAATTTCTTGACACTTTGTTTACGCCTTTTATTGAGAAATTCTGTAACCACATGGGACCGATTCTTGGCATTGTGATTGTTCTCAGTTCATCCTATCAACCTCAACAAATAAATGATAACCTCTATATCACGTTCTTGTGTCCTATCTTTAAGATATTATTTAAAGGGGGAAGTGTACACGAATAAATCACATTTATTCTTATGTGAATCAAAGTGAACTGTTTTAATTAGTTAATACCAATGTTTGAAAATATACACTCATTTTTCTTACAATGTAAGTATAACCTTCAAAATAAGTGCTGATATGTTACGCCAATGTGAGGCCTTTGTTTGCAGAGCTAAAACAGGCCAGAGTTACCGCCCTTTGATTATGACGTAATTGGTGCCACTTGATTTTAAACTGGTCTCCTGTCTAGTCCCAAATCAAAAGATAAATTATACTGAAATTAATCACGTGACAAAAGTTTGTGAAAATTCGAAAGAAGCATAACAACAGAAAATATAAGCAGCAGGACAGATTGATCGTGTGTATTTTCATTCATAACCTCACCTCAGTGAAAATAACAAATGTGTATAACAATGTTGACGTCCGTATGACATCACTATCGGGAAGCGACTTTTTCAAAATGGCGTGTTCACTGACACGAGTACGCCGGAGATTTCGAAGACATTTCCGTTGTTTCAAGCAACGTATATGCATAAATGTGACATGTAAGTAGTCCGAAAATTATGTCAGTCTGCTGGTTGTTATTTTCTTTTTGTTTTCATTGTGACCAAGGGAAACAGACAGAAATTAAGAGAAGTACCGTCATCGTTGTGCGTGAGTTTGTGTCAGTCATGGCGTCACGCTTTCAGAAACTGTAATATGTTGTGATGAATCTAGAAAATCACAAGAATACACCTATCTTATTTAACTATCGCTTGTTACGATACCTTTCCCATACATGTTCTAAAACTAATAAGCAGGCCCGCGTTTCACAAAAGCCTCCTAAATTTAGGAGGTCGTACCAGTAAGAGGGCTTTGTGAAACGGGCCCCTGGTCTATGCAACAAGTAGGCGTACGGATACACAGTGTAAAATCTTATTGGCTTTGTTTACATTTCAAACATGTGGTCCTTTCCCAGCGCTGTATCAGATATATTTCGTTCGATTTCAATGAAACACTTCGAACTGGTGACAAAGTCCACTTGCCAGTTTATTTTGAACTATATGAGGAATTCAGGGATTCGTGTCAGGAAGATGGTGTTGAACTATACAATTTTATTGATTTTATGGGCGAAACATAACCAACATACATGTGACGTGATTTTATAAACACTCTGTAATATGGCTTTGGTTTTTGCGTATTTTCCAAAACATTCTCAGCGATTCTCGGTTCATCGACAATGTTTCAGAACGAGCATTGGTGATTTGATCATACAACAAAACTACCGCTGATCACAATGATACGTCTTTTTCTTTTAAATTCAATTCTCCCAGTAAAATTTGACATTTGAATTAAGACATACAATAAATTACGCAAAACGCAGTTAATGGTGATTTAGTAATGTGTCAAAACTGGCGAGATTTACGATGCATGTAATTTTCAGTATATTTGATCTACAATGAGCGGATGATAGATCTATCATAGAAAAACGAATTTCAAACAGAGTTCAAAACTGCAAATTGCATTTATCTTCGTGATGTATTTGGATATGGTATCGATATCAAAGTGAAGGTGGAAGAGGAGGGACATATTGTACGATTAAGTAGGAATTTTAGTAACAAACGTTGAATGCCGGCACATTCACAGATGGCAAGCTAGATGTAGTGCACGTTTTAATGTTTGTGAAAAATGATACTGTTGAAAAGGCGACCGACTCAGGTTGAATGTTATACAATTTGGTTACGTGGTAACACATTAAGTACAATGTATACGTTTTCAGAACAGCAACGTCATTACAGTGTACAACTGACCACATAGCCAGCTGACGGCTAGGCAACAGGTGGATTAAAACAGTAGCCTGCGCATCGAGACACAAGAACCACGTCTATACCTGCACCACGTGAAATGGGTCTAATAAGGTCTAACGACGTCTTTTGTTTATCGTTCGGGCACCAATGACGTCATTTCCAAGGGACATAAGCCATGGTGTGTTTATTGTGGACATAGAACTCTCAGTAAATGTTGAAAATATGAATTGATATAACGCAAAAAATAAATTAGTTACTTCTGAAATATGTACAGGTTTGGATATAAAACTACTTGATAAACACTTTTTTATAAGGAAAAAGTGCAAGACAAAAAGGTTAGTTTTCGTGTACACTTGCCCTTTAACATATGACTGTGGGGTTTCTAGTTTGACTCAAACAAATGGGATCCCGGCTCGAAAGAAGTGGATGGACAGCTGCAATCTGTGCTGCTCTTATAAGTAGTACACTCCGTGGTGTAATCGCATCATCTACACTGTTCCTTCGACAAGACCAGCTTTGTGCTCAGTATTAGGAAATAGAAACAAATGAAAGAAAACCCTTTGAGTTTCAATAGGTCATTCAACACTAGCCTCGCAGCTTGTTCCACTGCTTCTCTCCTCTTCATGAACTAGAACTGCTGTGCCTGATGTGTGCAATTCGAAATGCAGTATCACTTGTTGTATCAATGCCGTGGATTTTCATGTCAGATCATGTCCACTATGCAACTAAGGATTTCGAATCCGATCACGCTTCCTTATCACCCGATTTTGTATCAGGAATTTTGTTCCGGTGGATTTGTAGCATATGAAACAAAACGACAATTCTCTGCGATGGCACCAGATCAGTCTCCTGAGCTAGTCAATGTTATGTTAAAATAGATAGATCCAGCTTTAATATATGTATTATACATCCCTTATTATAGACAGCTTACTTACAACTTCTCTTGTGATATTTTGGTAGATCTGATATAACAGAATTGTTTACTTGCAAATCATTACCGAAAATATGTTCTCTGAAACCCTGCATTATTAAATCCTTACATTATGCGCCATAGATAATAGACCATACACAAGAGTTCACAGATATATATAATAGATTTATCAAATGTCAAATACAGTCAAATGTACATGCCATCATGTAATAAATTATGTGATTCTGGACCATCCCTTCACACGTTAACCATTATAACTAAAGATCACAATCGGTATTGGGAGATTCGAACCTCTATTGGGAGATTCGAACCCTGTATTGGGAGATTCGAACCCTGTATTGGGAGATTCGAACCCTGTATTGGGAGATTCGAACCCTGTATTAACAGATCCTGGCACCACACCAGACAGGTTTCATCTCAAATGTGCACCTTTAAGTATCACAATATGGAGTGTGTCTGTTTAATCGAAAGGATAACTAAAGTTTCGAACTTAGGTATTGATTGTTCTCTTTGTCAAAGGGTCTGTTGTAGTTGTCTGTGACAGAGAAACAAAGAGAAGAACATGCTCTTGAAATCTGTAGGAACACATGATAAAACAACAGCATTGGATATGACGTCTGTACTTACATTCCTTTATTTTCTTCATCAGAAAGTCGTTCTCAGCTTCCGTATTAATAGAGACGAGGTCGGCACCAAGAATACGACATCTAGTTCTTGCAGAATCCCATTTGACTTTATCCAGCTCCAGTATGTAACAGTGGTCTTCAAATTTCACAAAGCCAGCAGCACACGAATCTACAAAATGACAACGTGAATGGAAGGTTTGAAAACTCATTTTCATTCAGAAGAGATTAACACAGCTGCAGACAATAGATAGAGAGGCTACAGGGTCATTACAAAGTTAATGACTGAAATGTATACACAGACATGTTCACTGAATTTGTAATAAAACAATGAACAATAAATGACCATACACAGAGCTACACTTTCATTTCATCAGACCATTGGCAGTCGCAGTGGTGCATTTCAATTAAAAGTTGAAGTCATTCAAAATGTACTGATACAAAACAAAACAGACTGTGCTATTCTTATCCTATATAATAGAGAGATATCCAATTTACAATGTGTGTGTGCACAAAAGTCCTTTCGGCGAATGTTGACTACTACTTATACACAACCATGTTTTGAGCATTTCGGTTGAATATTGAAAAACAATGTATACTTTACTTGGTTCTGCTGTAGTCGTTGTTGTCGTCGAAGTGGAAGTGGTTGTGTTTGGGACTGTGATGGGGGTTGTGTTTGGAACTGTGATGGGGCGCATTGTGAGAGAGCAGCCTCGAGTCTCTGAACTCTCTCATAAGACACATCCACCTTCTCCTCTATCACCCGCTGACGTGCCCTCTCCACAGCAATCTCCTTCTTCAGAAGCTCATGTTCCTTGAACTGATTCTTAAATTCCTCTTTTATCTCTTCCTTCAACTCATTTATCACTTCCGACCGAATGCGTTTTGCGTTCTCTTTTAACTTCAGGATACACGTATCTGTGCCGTTTTCTTTATGCTCTACGGCATGAAGCTTCGCTGTCATCATCAGGTATAAAACTGCAGCTACAGCTTGAAGCTTAGCTCTGTCCATCGTGACTACTCTATGTAGTTGTGATTTTAATATCTGACTCAGGATTTCGGGTCCAAATGTCATTTTGATTGTGAGTTGTTATGGGGAGTAGGGGAGGGGGAGAGAGAGCATGTCTAATGACAGGAATTAGTAAATTATGTTGACTAATTTAACGTCGCCTTATTATCCAGGGCAATATACAGTGTTTGATTAATAACGATTTAGTGCTGATATGAATTATCGTGGTTGTTTGAAATGTAATGCCACAGGCAATCGTCCTCTGCTACCTTTTGAATGTACAGAGATACACCCGTTGATGTGTAAAATAGACAAACAGCGACGCTTACAAAGAGCGCACATGGAACTGTGCTGACAATGATTCCAGCAACGTTTTTCGGATTTTCAATGGTGCTTTTCTAATAACTGTTAGTCACTACTTGAGCAATGTATGCTAGCTTGAAACGAAATACATATTCCTAAGGCAAATATTAAACTCGCTATATATCCAAAAGTGTATATATGTATATAACTACTTTTACACTACATCAGCTGACAAAACTGATCGGAAGATAAGAAACGGGTCTGAATACCTATCATGGCCAATCACCTATGTTATGTTGTTTCTGTTAGTCCTTCTCTAAAGTAAATAAATGTGTATATTGCTTTATGGCTGCGCCCTTGCCAGGACAGAAACGTCTCTTCATAAAGACGTTTGCATCGCAAAATACCACGAGTTTACTGTTTCCCACGATCCACTTATAATGAAAGAGTTGAAATATTCGTTGATCATACATTTTGCAAAATTAAAAGGTATATATACTTCGTACGCAGTTCTTAATGATTGGGTTATCAAGAGTCTCAAGAAAAATTAGCTTCATACATTGTAGCAATATAGAGACTCGCTTCTTGCCCTTCCCTCGGTAAATTGAATAAGTCATGGTCAATACAGAATCGTTCTGTACTCCACATACTATTCATTGGAAGTATAATAACCAAGAATGGTTTTAGCAAACTGCAAATATAAAACATTCCGGTCGGTATAATATACAACTCTTTATCACTTCCGACCGAACGCGTTTTGCGTTCTCTTTTAACTTCAGAATACACGTATCTGTGTCGTTTTCTTTATCCTCTATGGCATGAAGCTTCACTATCATCATCAGGTATAACATTGCAGCTATAGCGTGAAGCTTAGCTCTGTCCATCGTGACTACTCTATGTAGTTGTGATGTAAATATCTGGACTTACTAAAAGCTTCGCTATAGATGCCACTTTGATTGTAACCGATTTTTGAGTGAGTGACACATCAAATGACAGGAAGTTCTAAATTAGTTAAACTAGATGATAGCAGATGTCAAGCTTCTTATCACTTACAATATGGGGCTTGACTGGTGCCTCCTTAAAGCTGGTATGACTTCATAGTGTGATTGTTTGAAATGGAATGACAGAAACATTGTTCCTCTGCTACCTTTTGAATGTATAGAGGTTCACGCGTTCATGTGGAAAAATAACAAACGCTTGATGTACAGGGAACTAAACTGAAAGTGTCCGGGCAATCGCTATTTAGACAGATTTGTTATCACTATCCCTATCACTATTTTTAAAGGTGCTATACTGATGTCACCTTGAGTATGTCGACTGGCACTCTTCTTTAACATTCATGACTGTCATTAGGTTTTTGTCACCAGATTAGTCTCTACCAAGGTCAGGAAGCAGAAAATAGATATATTATTATAATAGATATAATGGTAGTATCTGTATGTTGTTGTTCTTGAAAAGGCTATTGTCAGTCTTGCCGTGTGAGTTCGGGTGTTGTCATGTTGAAAAATGACTTCGGGCTTATTAGTAACTCAGTACTGTATTTATGTTCATTCTAAAAAAGATGAACACATTGGGAAAGATTGGGTTGATTATCTTCCACGGATTACAAGGGATATAGTTTTGGTCGAAATGATATGTCATCTTTGTGGATTTCGGCTGGCACTCTTCTTTAACACTCAGGACTGTCATTAGGTTTTCAATCACCAGAATGGTTTCCACCGCGGTCAGGGAGCGGAAGATATAATCATTTAACATGTCTCTTTAATAATAAGCACCCTAATGGAGTATCGCATTCACCGTACCGTACATTACTAGGCTCTAAAATAATATTTTAGTTAATGAATTTATGGTAACTTTGTTTTCGGCTTTTGCTATTGTCAAATGCGACCTTTAGAATTGAGTGAGTGAGTGAGTGAGTTTAGTTTTACGCCGCACTCAGCAATATTCCAGCTATATGGTGACGGTCTGTAGATAATCGAGTCTGGACCAGACAATCCAGTGATCAACTGCATGAGCATCGATCTGCGCAATTGGGAACCGATGACATGTGTCAACCAAGTCAGCGAGCCTGACCACCCGATCCCGTCAGTCGCCACTTACGACAAGCATAGTCGCCTTTGTGGCAACCATGGGTTGCTGAAGACCTATTCTACCCCGGATCTTCACGGGTTTCAGAACTGAGAAAGAGTGTACTGGCAAATAGACTCCCAAGTTAAATCCATGCATATTGGAACATTTAAAGCTGTTGAATCTGTAGAAAACTAAACGCTTTTATGCAAATGTTGTCCCTGTTTAGCTTTTTTCTTCACTGAACTATTGGGTGTGTTCATGGAAGTGTAAATGATCTCAAAGCGCTAGTAAAACTGTGTGAAATTTCGATTTTGTTAAACAAGACGACGATATCAAGTCAATAGTGATGTAAATTGACACCGTTGGTTACCCGACTCAGATATATATTTTATTTGAGTGAGTAAGTGAGCTAATATTTATCGTCACATCTGCAATATTTCAGTCATACCGTGATGATAACAAATTTGATATTTATAAATAATATACATGTATATTATAAAACCTGTCGGCAAAGGACAGTAAAAAAACTAGAATATCACAGTTCGAATTTAAAACTAGCATGTTAAATTGAGATGATGGCACTATTTTGGCAATACACAACATAAAAGCAGGCTATAGATTGCCAGCAAGTGAAGGAAAATCACCATACGAGGGGCCATGGTGACTTACAGTTGTTTTGCTACCTGCATGGATCACAGCTGAATTTTTACAAAAGCTTGGTAGATATAAATTGACTTAGAAACTTTGGTCTGACGTACCCTCTCAGGAGGACAATAATTTTACAATACTGGATATTCTATGTAGAAGAATAGGCATCATCTGTACGCGAGTATGTGGTCATTCAGTGTTTACCAAATCCATTGAAAGGAAACAAATTGGTATTGACATCAAATTAGGTAGTAAGATCTTTCTGTTTCTATTCAAATGCAACTAACCACAATATGACAAACGAAAGAATTTATTTTGCTTTAGCCTCTAAGTACCAAACAACCCTTAGAAAGAGGAATCCAGCATCTATGCTGCATCTTTCTCACATATGTAGTGGAAGTCATAAGTCGATGTCGCGTCCTCCCACTTGTAAGCTGACTCGAACGTTGAAATGAATGCTTTACATTTCAAAGAATGCATACAGTTAGGCTCAAAGGGCCAAACGCCAGTCAGTAAATCCCACCTCGGTACCGTCAGCCCACATGTATTTTCCGTCTTCGTACAACATTCCCATCCAGAAATGTGCGGCGCTCTTCTCGTCAGGCGGGTAGTCTGAAATTACACATCACAGTCGTCAGTAAAGGCATGCTTTTGTTAAACTCTCTCACCTTGGGTTAAAAGCACTAAACCTGGCACAGGTATACTTCGAACCAAGTCGAACATTTCTGGATATGATCCAGCTCAGCAGCGACAGATGACCGCCAACTCAGCCAAGATCTATTGTGATGTTAATCTATGCTTAATATATCATGCTGACTGGTCAAATTAAGGAATGTATTCAGAATTAATCGCAACAGTACTGTATATAATTAATATCGGATATATCGCGCCCTTTGGTGGTGACAGAAAATCCAAGACGGCCGCCCAAAGTACATTTTTGCAGATATTTTCGGTTCTTTGTTCATGATATGGCTATTTGTTCCGTTTATTATCTGGATTAAAACAATAACAAGCATTATTTACTGAATGTTGGTACTAAAATTATTAGCATTTTAAATAAGATTATTACTTTTTGTTATTTATAAAATAAACATCAGGAAAAGTAATTATGCTTGACAATGTTTACAGCTCCGATTTTTTCTAAATATATTTCATTAACCTATTTCTAATATGTATACATATGATAATAATAAAGGTACTTATATTGCGCAATACTCCATACAACAAAGGGGCATGCTCAAAGCGCGCACAAATGTTTAAAAACAAACACATCGAAAGTCACATGAATCAGTATTGTAGAAGATTGTCGTAAATATGAGCTTGGAGAGAGTTACTGTTTGTACCGACTGAAAAGGTGTGTTTTGATGTTACGCTTGAACACTTGAAGGGATGGAGCTGTACGTAGTTTATGTGGAAGTGAGTTCCATTGTGCGGTTGCAACTGAAGCAAAGGAGTGGGCACCAAATATCTTGAGGTTGAATGATGGAGGATCCAGCAGGTGTTGGTTACTGGATCTGAGGGCACGAGCAGGAGTGTATGGTGTGAGAAGATCACACAGGTATGAGGAAGTCGTGAAGTTAACACACTGGTAAGCGAGAGTGAGTACCTTGAAATCAATTCTTTCATGGATCCGTAACTAGTGAAAGGAATCCAGAATGAACTGTACGTCACAGGACGGCTTAGAACGGGTAAAGCGATGGGCAGCTTTATTTTGGAGAGATTGTAGGTGCTTTACCTGAGTTTTGGAGGCACGTGTAAGCAGACTATGTGCTTGCGTGTTCGACCGTGTTACAGAAATGCTGTATGAAGACAGTTAGTTTGCAACTATCATTGGAACTAAGTCCCATAAACAACCTGAGACAGCTGCTTGTAGTCGACAACACCGTTTGGGCAGCATTAGTGGTAAATATAAATGAACGGTAAGTTAGGCTATATTAATCAACAAAAGTGTGTCACACCTGTTGATATTTCCTACATTTAGTGCTAATAATAGTCAAACTGCATAGCGAGGGAATCTGCCTGAGATTTGCATTAGTCGTTGAACGTCTGATGATTTTCTGAGATGATTGGCCATTTCTCAAGTACAGTCAAACTTATTAAAATCTCGTGTATCCACCTCTATTCTCGAGACAATCCCCATTTGATCCGCTTTCGGATCCGATCACCCTTCCTTATCAGGGGAATTTTGTATAATTAAGTTTGTTCCGGTGGATTTGTAGCATATGAAACAAAACGACAATTCTCTGCCATGACACAGATCAGTCTCCTGAACTAGTCAATGCTATGTTAAAAAAATGATGGATTCCAGCTTTAATGTATGTATCATTCCTCCCTGATTATAGGCTTTTCGTCACAAGCTTACTTACAACTTCTCTTGTGATATTTTGGTTGATCTGGTATAACAGACCTGCTTAATTGAAAATCATTACTGGAAAGATGTTCCCTGAAACCCTTTTTAAAATCCTTACATTATGATCCATAATTCTTATAGACCATGAACAAGAGTGCACGAAATTATATATTTATACACAGTCAAGTATAATTGCCAACGTGCAATAATTTATGCGATTTGGGACCAACCTACGTGTGTCATGTTTCTTTCATGTTCACATGGGACTGCCTTAAAGTTTCACAATTGTAACCTCTGGAATTTGGGTATCAATGATATGTGAGTAACGTTTTATTCAACAGCAACAGGTTCCATCAATCACTGACGATTCATAGCCAGTGGTTGTCTTGTACTAACCCATAATAACTAACGATAACAATCGGTATTGGGAGATTCGAACCCTGTACTGGATTAACAGATCTTGGCACCACAACAGACAGATTTCATCTCACCGAACTCTGACACCTGTTGACAAATGAACCTAATGTGCATTTCCTATAAGTATCAGTCTGTTTAATCGAAAGGAACCTTACTTATTGATTGTTTTCCTCTTTGTCAAAATACCACCACAAAGGTGAGGTGGGGGTCGGTGGGTGGGGGTTATGGGGTCTGTTGAAGTTGTATGTGACCGAGAAACAAAATGAAGAACATGCTCTTGATATCTGTAATAACAGATGATAACACAACAACCACATCGAATATGACGTCTGTACTTACATTCCTTTATTTTTCTCCATCAGAAAGCTATTCTCAGCTTCCGTATTGATAGAAACGAGGTCGGCACCAAGAATACGACATCTAGTTCTTGCAGAATCCCATTTGACTTCACCCAGCTCAGTATGTAACAGTGGTCTTCAAATTTCACAAAGCCAGCAGCACACGAATCTACAAAATGACAGCGTGAATGGAGGGTTCGAAAACTCATTTTCCTTCACATTCACATCAGAAGAGATTAAACAGCTGCAGACAATAGATAGTGAACCTACAGGGTCATTACAAAAGTAAATGACTGAAATGTATACACAGACATGTTCACTGAATTTGTAATAAAAATCACACAATGAACCTGCATAAATGAGAGCTACACTTTCATTTCACCAGGCCATTGGCAGTCGCAGTGGTGCATTTCGGTTGAATATTGAAGTCATTAAAATGTACTGATACAAAACAAAACAGACTGTGGTATTCTTATCCTATATAATAGAGAGATTTACAATGTGTGTGTGCACAAAGTCCTTTCGGCGTATGTTGACTATTTATACTTCTTATACACAACCATGTTTTGAGCATTTCCATTGAATATTGAATAACAATGTATACTTTACTTGGTTCTGCTGTAGTCGTTGTTGTCGTCGTCGTAGAAGTGGAAGTGGTTGTGTTTGGGACTGTGATGGGGGTTGTGTTTGGAACTGTGATGGGGGCGCATTGTGAGAGAGCAGCCTCGAGTCTCTGAACTCTCTCATAAGACACATCCACCTTCTCCTCTATCACCCGCTGACGTGCCCTCTCCACAGCAATCTCCTTCTTCAGAAGCTCATGTTCCTTGAACTGATTCTTAAATTCCTCTTTTATTCCCTCCGTCAACTCTTTTATCACTTCCGACCGAACGCGTTTTGCGTTCTCCTTTAACTTCAGAATACAGGTATTTGTGTCGTTTTCTTTATCCTCTATGGCATGAAGCTTCACTATCATCATCAGGTATAACACTGCAGCTATAGCGTGAAGCTTAGCTCTGTCCATCGTGACTACTCTATGTAGTTGTGATGTAAATGTCTGGACTTACTAGCTTCGGTATAGATGCCACTTTGATTGTAACCGATTTTTGAGTGAGTGACACATCAAATGACAGGAAGTTATAAATTAGTTAAACTAGATGATAGCAGATGTCAAGCTTATTATCACTTACAATATAGGGCTTGACTGGTGCCTCCTTAAAGCTGGTATGACTTCATATTGTGATTGTTTGAAATGGAATGACAGAAACATTGTTCCTCTGCTACCTTTTGAATGTATAGAGGTTCACGCGTTCATGTGGAAAATAACAAACAGAAACGCTTGATGTACAGGGAACTAAAATGAAAGTGTCCAGACAATTGCTATTTAGACAGATTTGTTATCACTATCCCTATCACTATTTTTTAAAGGTGCTATACTGATGTCACCTTGAGGATCTCGAATGGCACTCTTCTTTAACATTCATGACTGTCATTAGGTTTTCTGTCACCAGATTACTCTCCACCAAGGTCAGGAAGCGGAAAAATAGATATATTATTATAATAGATATAATGGTAGTATTTGGATGTTCTTGTTCTTGAAAAGGCTATTGTCAGTCTTGCCGTGTGAGTTCGGGTGTTGTCATGTTGAAAAATGACTTCCGGGCTTATTAGTAACTCAGTACTTTATTTATGTTCATTCTAAAAGATGAACACATTGGGAAAAGATTGGGTTGATTATCTTCCACGGATTACACGGATATAGTTTTGGTCGAAATGATATGTCATACATACATTACTAGTCTCTAAAATAATATTTTAGTTAATGAATTTATGGTAACTTTGTTTTCGGCTTTTGCTATTGTCAAATGCAACCTTTTAGAATTGAGTGGGTGAGTGAGTGAGTTTAGTTTTACGCCGCACTCAGCAATATTCCAACTATATGGTAGCGGTCTGTAAATAATCGAGTCTGGACCAGACAATCCAGTGATCAACTGCCTAAGAATCGATCTGCGCAATTGGGAACCGATGACATGTGTCAACCAAGTCAGCGAGCCTGACCACCCGATCCGTTAGTCGCCACTTACGACAAGCATAGTCGCCTTTGTGGCAAGCATGGGTTGCTGAAGACCTATTCTACCCCGGATCTTCACGGGTTTCAGAACTGAGAAAGAGTGTACTGGCAAATAGACTCCCAAGTTAAATCCATGCATATTGGAACATTTAAAGCTGTTGAATCTGTAGAACTTTAACTAAACGCTTTTATGCAAATGTTCTCCCTGTTTGGATTTTTTCTTCACTGAACTATTGGGTGTGTTCATGGAAGTGTAAATGATCTCAAAGCGCTAGGAAAACTGTGTGAAATTTCGATTTTTGTTAAACAAGACGACGATATCAAGTCAATAGTGATGTAAATTGACACCGTTGGTTACCCGACTCAGATATATATTTTATTTGAGTGAGTAAGTGAGCTAATATTTATCGTCACATCGACAATATTTTCAGTCATATCGTGATGATAACAAATTTGATATTTATAAATAATACACATGTATATTATAAAAACCTGTCGGCAAAGGACAGTAAAAACTAGAATATCACAGTTCGAATTTAAAACTAGCATGTTAAATTGGAGATGATAGCACTATTTGGGCAATACACAACATAAAGCGGGCTATAGATTGCCAGCAAGTGAAGGAAAATCACCATATGAGGGGCCATGGTGACTTACAGTCGTTTTGCTACCTGCATTGATCACAGCTGAATTTACAAAAGCTTGGTAGATATAAAATTGACTTAGAAACTTTTGGGTCTGATGTACCCTCTCAGGAGGACAATAATTTTACAATACTGGATATTCTATGTAGAAGAATAGGCATCATCTGTGCGCGAGTATGTGGTCGTTCAGTTTTACCAAATCCATTGAAAGGAAAAAATTGGTATTGACATCAAATTAGGTAGTAAGATCTTTCTGTTCTATTCAAATGCAACTAACCACAATATGACAAACGAAAGAATTTATTTTGCTTTAGCCTCTAAGTACCAAACAACCCTTAGAAGAGGAATCCAGCATCTATGCTGCATCTTTCTCACATAGACCCGTGAAGATCCGGGGTAGAATAGGTCTTCAGCAACCCATGTGCTTGCCATAAAAGGCGACTATCTTGTCGTAAGAGGCGACTAACGGGATCGAGGTGGTCAGTTTCGCTGACTTGGTTGACACATGTCATCGGTTCCCAATTGCGCAGATCGATGCTCATGCTGTTCATCACTGGATTGTCTGGTCAGACTCGATTATTTACAGACCGCCGCCATATAGCTGGAATATTGCTGAGTGCGGCGTAAACTAAACTCACTCACTCACTCTTTCTCACATATGTAGTGGAAGTCATAAGCCAAACTCGCGTCCTCCCACTTGTAAGCTGACCACAACGTTGAAATGATGCTTTACATTTCAAGAATGCATACAGTTAGGCTCAAAGGCCGAACGCCAGTCAGTAAATCCACCTCGGTACCGTCAGCCCACATGTATTTTCCGTCTTCGTACAACATTCCCATCCAGAAATGTGCGGCGCTCTCCTCGTCAGGCGGGTAGTCTGAAATTACACATCACAGTCGTCAGTAAAGGCATACTTTTGTTAAACTCGCTCACCTTGGGTTAAAAGCACTAAACCTGGCACACGAATACTTCCGAACCAAGTCGAACATTTCTGGATATGATCCAGCTCAGCAGCGACAGATGACCGCCAACTCAGCCAAGATCTATTGTGATGTTAATCTATGCTTAATATATCATGCTATCTGGTCAAATTAAGGAATGTATTCAGGAAGTAATCCGCAACAGTACTGTATATAATTAATATCGGATATATCGCTCCTTTGGTGGTGACAGAGAAAATCCAAGACGGCCGCCCAAAGTACATTGTTGCAGATATTTTCGGTTCTTTGTTCATGATATGGCTATTTGTTCGATTTATTTCCGCTCTGGATTAAAAAACAATAACAAATATTATTTACTGAATGTTGGTACTAACATTATTAGCATTTTAAATAAGATTATTACTTTTGTTATTTATAAAATAAACATCAGGAAATGTAATTATGCTCGACAATGTTTACAGCTATGATTTTTTTCTAAATATATTTCATTAACCTATTTCTAATATGTATACATATGATAATAATAAAGGTACTTATATTGCGCAATACTCCATACAACAAAGGGGCATGCTCAAAGCGTGCACAAATGTTTAAAAACAAACACATCAAAAAGTCCATGAATCAGTATTGTAGAAGATTGTCGTAAATATGAGGCTTTGGGAGAGTTACTGTTTGTACCGACTGAACAGGTGTGCCTTTGGTGTTACGCTTGAACACTTGAAGGGATGGAGCTGTACGTAGTTTATGTGGAAGTGAGTTCCATTGTGCGGTTTGCAACTGAAGCAAAGGAGTGGGCACCAAATATCTTAAGGTTGGATGATGGAGGATCTAGCAGGTGTTGGTTACTGGATCTGAGGGGGCACGAGCATGAGTGTATGGTGTGAGAAGATCACACAGGTATGATAATGAAGCCGTGGAGTTAACACACTGGTAAGCGAGAGTGAGTACCTTGAAATCAATTCTTTCATGGATCCGTAACTGAGTGAAAGGAATCCAGAATGAACTGTACGTCACAGGACGGCTTAGAACGGGTAACGCGACGGGCAGCTTTATTTTGGAGATTGTAGGCGCTTTACCTGAGTTTTGGAGGCACGTGTAAAGCAGACTATGTGCTTGCGTGTTCGACCGTGTTACAGAAATGCTGTATGAAGACAGTTAGTTTGCAACTATCATTGGAACTAACTCCCATAAACAACCTGAGACAGCTGCTTGTAGTCGACAACACCGTTTGGGCAGCATTAGTGGTAAATATAAATGAACGGTAAGTTAGGCTATATTAATCAACAAAAGTGTGTCACACCTGTTGATATTTCCTACATTTAGTGCTAATAATAGTCAAACTGCATAGCGAGGGAATCTGCCTGAGATTTGCATTAGTCGTTCAACGTCTGATGATTTTCTGAGATGATTGGCCATTTCTCAAGTACAGTCAAACTTATTAAAATCTCGTGTATCCGCCTCTATTCTCAAGACAATCCCCCATTTGACGAGGAATACTTCTAATAAAATGTCAATTCAGTGTCAGCTTGATTCATTCCATCTCATGCAGTGCCAACTTTGTCGAGAGTTTCGGGTGGCTGTTGATTGAGCACTGAGTTCTGGTGATGGTAGGGCGTTATTGTTCTCCTGTTGGAGGTACTCATTAACAATAGTTAGATGTCAGATCATGTCAACTATGCAATTGTCGCTTTCGGATCCGATCACCCTTCCTTATCACGGGAATTTTGTATAATTAAGTTTGTTCCGGTGGATTTGTAGCATATGAAACAAAACGACATTTCTCTGCCATGACACAGATCAGTCTCCTGAACTAGTCAATGCTATGTTAAAAATGATGGCTTCCAGCTTTAATGTATGTATCATTCCTCCCTGATTATAGGCTGTTGACAAATGGACCTAATGTGCATCTTCTAAGTATCAGTCTGTTTAATCGAAAGGAACCTTACTTATTGATTGTTTTTCTCTTTGTCAAAATACCACAAAGGGTGAGGTGGGGGTCGGTGGGTGGGGGTTATGGGGTCTGTTGAAGTTGTATGTGACCGAGAAACAAAATGAAGAACATGCTCTTGATATCTGTAATAACAGATGATAACACAACAACCACATCGAATATGACGTCTGTACTTACATTCCTTTACTTTTTCCATCAAGCTATTCTCAGCTTCCGTATTGATAGAAACGAGGTCGGCACCAAGAATACGACATCTAGTTCTTGCAGAATCCCATTTGACTTCACCCAGCTCCAGTATGTAACAGTGGTCTTCAAATTTCACAAAGCCAGCAGCACACGAATCTACAAAATGACAACGTGAATGGAGAGGTTCGAAAACTCATTTTCCTTCACATTCACATCAGAAGAGATTAACACAGCTACAGACAATAGATAGTGAAGCTACAGGGTCATTACTAGACTAACAACTAGTCTCT